GGTGACCCTGCTTCGGCAGGAGGGTTGGACCAGATGACCCACAGAGGTCCCTTCCAACCCCTACTATTCTGTGATTCTGTGATTCTGTGGTACGGGTGGACTGTGTCCCAGGGGCTGAAGCGTGCGAAACTTCCAGAAGGGCTACTGGCTCTCACAAAACCGCACTGGAAGAGAAGCTCTGCCGTAGAAAAATGAGATGGAGCGCTCTAGTGTGCAGTCTGTGTGAGGCTGAAAGTAGGTGTGAGCAAAACGAGCTGTACGAAGGCCGAGAGCGGGTGTACAGGGACTGAGAAACGAAGTGCGCGAAGCCAGCGGCACTGGGGGTACTGGTGCTGGTGGTGTATTCGGGGTTGGGGTGTAGATCAGCACGCTCCAGGTGTGGAGGTTTAGGTGCCTCTCCACTTGTGTGACCATCTCCTGAGCGTCTCCTAAAGCCTGGGTGTGGAACAGGGCACCTGCTCACCCAGCCTGGCTGCCGCAGGGGATGTCCCCAGTGCCACCAGCTCTGCTCACTGGGGACCGTGTTTGTCCCTGTGAGACCTGCGGGACTGACACAGTGACGAAGGCGCTTTGAGAAGATGCGGGCACCTTTGGTTTGGGAGGCCTGGGGGAAATACAGTGTGGGATAGCTCAGTGTGGAGATCCTGATTCTCAAGCAGTTTGTGTGATGTTTCTTCACCAAGTTCATTAGAAGTAGGACACAGACCTGAATCTTTTGAATCCCAAACCCCTTAACCAGCAGCTTGACTTCACCCTAGTTCAGATCAAGGCGAGAGTCTGAACTGTGGATTTATGAAGGTTGGATGGGGGGGAACAGCAAAGAACCACTGCCCTTGCTCTAGAAGTGAATGAACCAGGCAAGCACCGGTGCTGCCCCAAGAAACAGGGGAATGCTTTCCTCGGGTCTTGGTGTGGTCCCTGTGCTCGGGTGGTTAAAGCCCTTATTGCACACTCGGGCCAGCTGTGTTGAAATTGGTGTGTGAAGGAAACCCTACAGGGCCAAGGTAAATCGCCAGGAGAGCGGCATCTGAGCCCAAACAGCTTTTTGAACTCCTCTCGACCGCGGAGAGGGGCCCCATCACTGTAGTATGTCTGTCCTGTGAGCTGAGCGTTCTCCACTGAGCATAACATCATCTTTAACCCTCCCAGAACTGGAAGCTCTTCTGCTGTCATAAGCTGCTGTGTTGGAATCAAATCAAATCCTGAAGCAGTTGATCGAATTCGGCCGTTGTCCCAGAAGCTGGAGGCCAGCCATGTAGTGAGGGCTCGGGGGAGCCTCGGGCTGCCCGGGCAGCTCCTGCTGTGGAGAGAGCAACTTTGAAGAAGCTTAGGAGAAAGGGACACTTCTTTGGCCAACACCTCTGGTAACTCTGCTAGTAAAGTCTTCGCTCCTCTCCC